GGTAGGCAATCTTGTTCGTTTAGGTTCATTTTTTTATTCTTTTATCGTTACATACATCATCAGAGTGAAAGATAAGGCTGCCGAATGAGAAGTTATTTACATGCACTATGTCCATTATTATATAATAAAGAAAGAAGATTATCCTGTACCTAAATGAATTAAAAAGCAAATTAATATTAATTTAAGTTTATTATTTATAAATCATGAGTTATTACTATTTTCATTATTACATTAATAGTAGGTAAGTACTTTAATATGTAGGTAGGTAGGTACTTGTATAAAACATAACCACTTCTTGGCAGTCAGGTAAAAAGACGAATTTTTAGTGCTAAGCATTCTTAAGCGGCCAACCTTGAAGCATGCATAAAGCATCCCATAATAGATTGTCAGAGACACTTGACAGACTATTCATCTGTATCTATTTCAGAATCATTTTATGATGATGAAGACGTAGAAGAGTTCGTCACGTTGATTATAACCAAAATGGATATGAAAATATCGGCAGTCTTCTTTTTCGTATCCATTTTGGATGGATGTCACTAGACCATATTTCTTTTACATATTTATAGATGTTTACAATGATTATTTTTTCGGTTTCCGTAATATGCGACACTTTCCGCTTCTTTCGTGGTAACGTAAAGTCTTTATGAGATTTTCATGTCAATGGACCCGATTTCATACTAGTGATAATATGCAAAACGTCACAAAACAATAACAAAAACTTTAATACAAAACGTAATAATACAACTAACAAAACAAACTTAATAAAAATTAAAACAACTACTATACTCGAAAATTTTAAATCTCAAACTAGCTACACACTAGCGCATGAGCACCAAACCACCAAAGCAGAATGAGGAATGAGTTCTGCTCCATCCGCTTTCTCAAATACGCACGGCGTAAGACCTATCGCAAATCGCGTCGAAACAGGTTTATTATCTCTGAATGACCGCTTCCTTCACCCTACCCCGTACCATGAGACACGCTTAGCGCATAACGATACGTAATCTATAAAGAAATGTATGGAATGTGAAAGCAATAACTGTCGTTTTGTTTCGATGCTAACATAGTACTTGAGGTCAATGTACTTTTTTCCGCCTGCCCTAGAAACGTACTATACCTTTATTTTCTCGTTCAGCTTAGTGACTATGTCGTTAAAAAAATATTTATGTGATCTAAGGTGCCGACGCCCCTTTGGTAACCAAATTGTCTCAAGTTGGTGATGTTTTTAAAAGTCCAATGTGTCATTAATCTAGTTTTTATTATGTTTTCAAAACTTTTTGACAAGGTAGTTGACATCGATTATTTTTCCGTCCGATTTTTGTACCTTTTTTGTAAATAGGAACGACTTTAGCCAATTTGAGTTGATGAGGGAAAATTGACTCTTCGATACTTTTATTAGTAAACTCAGGATAACCTTGGATAACCTTTTAGACATTCTGTCTAAGAACCCTTTTATAAATTCGAATGTAATTCATTTTATTATTTCAGATGGAAAAATTTTTTAGAATGCCTGAGCACAGTACACTTTTCATTTTAATAGAGATATTAATAGTTATTTTGCAACCATCCGCTAAATTAAATAAAATGATGTGTCTTCCCTAGTTTGAAGGTGCTCTCCCGCCCTCCCTCAATTGCGAGCACTAATCCCAGCAACCACTACTCCTAACGCCAATACTGCCAACAACACAGTGGCCCTCATTTTATACGATGATAACTACCCGACTAATACAGTACAAAGATGGGGGAAAGGCATTGACCAATCAGAGCGCGAGAAAGCAAGGCACGATACTGTGAATTACCTTGCGGAGCCGTAACAATTCTGTTTTTCGCTAACTTTGCTAAAATTATATATTTTAGGTTCTATGTAACTATTATATGAAATTATAAATTCAAAAAATAACATAAATCTTATTTACATATAGAATAAGTCTACTATATAAGTACGAAAACAAACCCTAAAACTATAACAATTTTTTACTAAAACTATAAGTTCAAATGCTTATGATTCATCACTATATGTGCCCTAGTCACTATTTTTCACTTGTCCCGCACAGTAAGATTATTTATTTTCAAAAGATTAATATAGTAATTAATATAAAATGTACAAATCCTTTTAAATGTGAATAGTTGAAGTTAGTTTTATTTTTAACGTATTGTGAATAGTGTTTCAAAAAATGAGCTTTGAAGTCATGGTGACTTACGAACTCTTTACTCGTATTTTTTATTTTTTTTTTTCGAGCTTACTTCTTTTTATAAGGCTGGCAATGGACGCGCAATGAGGGCTAATAATCTGCGCACTATAATAGTTGTCGCTAGTTAACACTGAGGTGAAGTTTTTGTTACACAATGTAATTTAATTGAGAATTTAGTTTTAAATAAAAGTTTATCGGTTTCTAAAGTATTACTAATACATAAAAATATGCCTCAATTGTTTGCTCTTTAATTTTTTGCACGTTTTTTTATTTTTCTCCTTTTATGAATTGGTTTGGTTTATTTATTTTTAATCTAATTAATATAAAATATAATTAAAAGCACAGAAAGGAACATTAACCTTTACATTTTTTGAACAAATTAAATTCCCCGCTATCAAATTTGTCAAATGTTACACCTACGCCAGTATATTCTATGTCCATGTATTTTACCTCCTTTATGTAGCGCCGCCCTAGTGGCGGAAAATGTCATGAATACCCTCATTCCCTTGTAGTTGTTCATGGGTGGCGATCGACGCTTACCATCAAGCGAGCCGCATACTAGTTGGCCCTTTCTTCTATTTGTATATATAAAGAAAAAACAAAGTGCTCGCAAAAACATTTTAAAACACTAGGTATAAAGACGCGTGAAACGAGGCACGCTTGAAAATTATCCTTTGTCAATTGTTTTCTTAGACCTAGAACCTATACAATTGGTGCTTTTTGTACGGAACCCCCGCACAATTGAACAATGCTATTGCTTTGCGGCTTAACCGGTATTGTATGTAAATACAAGTTACGCAGGCCCTGGTATTATTGTAGTTTTATTTTCATAGTTAATATATAATAATTTTATACAGTATCGTTTCAATAGCGATACACTTTTAAAAAATAAAATTGTAAATCTCAGAAACCTAAATAATAATATTTAAATTTCTGTGTTGTAAATGTTTTGATTAATCGATTGAAGTGAGGCTAATCGATTTTTTTATATAGGATAAGGGTAACAAGCGAGCGCATAGTCCACCTGATGGTAAGAGTGATTGCTGCGGCCCTTAAAACATCTACATCCATCCTCGATTATGAATGAAAATGCAGTTGCGTTGTCACCCGTGAGGACTAATATGGAATGCCTCGTTTCCAGTAAAAAGGGTCTCTAGTTCTCTACACTCACCATAGGAAACACGGCAGCGTTAAGCCGCTACTTTACGCTGGTATTCTGTGAGAGCGTGGTCCTTCCCCGGTCGAGCCGACCCATTTTGATTCTTTATTGAAGATAAATGTAGATTTCTATGGGCCACAGTATCTACTTACCATCAGGTGGACTATTTACTTATTTGTCATCCTATTCTATAAAAAAAAATATATATCCCTAGTTGATGGTTTCTCAGTACTGTAGTATGCGGGTGTCTTCTTCTACTCATCTTCTCCTCACATGTACGTCAATTTCCGTTGCCAGTGATGGCAAATGGATCTTAGACGTGTTCCTCCTCTTCTGACCATATAAGGAAACTCAAGGTCGCTATGCTATGTAGAGGGCTGTGCTAGGGGTTTCTCTGGGTGATAGACTTAGGCTGCAAAAGATTTTTTTATAATTTCAAATCAGGCAACTGATACCAAAGTATTGTTAGAGATGCTGATCTGATTTAAAACGATTTTCTAAGTGAATTATTTTATTAATAACTGCATTTCAGTGCGGAATCCCTTTCACTTGCACTCTACTACAGAAGTTCATGCAGAAAGATCTATTTTGTGGGCGATTATTTTCGTTCGTTCAGCAATTAAAGTTTCGTTTATCAAAAGTCATTTGTTTAAGGCGACCTTGCGGTACTTTAAAACTTATTTGGTCCTCTATAAATCTATTGACATTTAATAATGGCGCAAAACAAAATAATTGTGCTAAAATTGAACACAATAATAACGCCTTAATTCTTAAACGTTAATTAAAATAATGGAATCGCTATTTAAACGTGTACCTTGCACTTGCACGTGTACATTCCATAATGAAACCGAAGTTATTATCTATTGAAAGGACGTATGTTTTTTAAGATCTTTTAGGTTTGACGTATGTTGTTTTTACTCTACCCGCATTAATATTAAATCACATCAAAGAGTAGTCCTTGAGTATTAATTATCTCGACTATAGCGGGGAGTGAGGTAACGTTTTCTTACCTGTTCACAATACTACGAGATGGCCTTAATCTGTTACCGTTTCAAAATGAAGTTCCTCCGACCTAAAGCAGCAAAAGTAAAATTAGTAAGTAAAAGTGCGCTAGCTTTTTTTTTGTTTTTTTTGTCATTGATACTATTTTGATACCTCTATACAGTGATAATATTAAGCAGCCAGTAGCATTTTTAGTTTAAAATATTTTTTTTATTGCAAGATATGAAAATTGTTAAAATACTCAGATATATTCAGATTTAGAAAAACAGATGGTCAACAGTGAAACAATGTCTGCACATACGTTGCTTTTTGATGAATCACTGCAAAAAATCTCATTTTTGTTCCGTTACGCGGGTTTGTTGCTGGAACCAAAAACGAAAACCGTTAAAGAAAAAATAAAAATACGTTGTTTGTACCTATTCAACATCTCCTGGGCGAGTATTGACGTAATTGGTGGTATATATTGTTTTATAGATGGTATAATGAAAGGAAAGAGTTTTACTGATATGACGTATGTTGCTCCTTGCATTGTTCAAAATTTCTTGGCGTTTTTTAAATCGATAATAATGATAGTGAATGAACAGAGGGTCGAAGAACTTATTAACAATGTACGGTGTTTAGAGTCAACAGAAAGGCAAAGCGAGATGGCGGAGGAAAAAGAAGCAATAATAGCAGATGAAAGAAGATTTTTAAATAATATTATTAAAATGTTAAATATTGTCAACATGATGTTGGTAGTGACATTCACGAGCTATCCTTTAATACTGACGTTGATCGAATATTTGAGGACGAAGGAAGTGGAGCTGATGCTACCCTTACTTATCGTGTATCCATTTAATTCTTACGACATAAGGTATTGGCCTTTCGTGTACTTGCATCAGATTTGGACTGGTAAGTTGTAAATATTTACATTAATAGGCTAAAGATAAAAAGGTTATTAAACTTAATCCTGACTCTACATGGATCGTTCAACCCTTAAAAAATCCTCGTTAGGCACTAGGATAGCTCGACGATGAACGGCAGCCGCAAAAAAATCGGAACGTTCATTCTTGGTAGAGCCACGTTGCAGCTAAATTATGGTTTTAGCACAAATTAGTTGGCGCGAACGAGGAAGTACGACGTTCTCACAAAATACCACTGTGAAATAGCAGAACAGCATGAATGCAGAGCACCGGAGACCTTTATTACTGAAAACGAGGAATTCACTCTTAGTCCTCGGGGGCGACAACGCATCTGGATTTTGATTTTTAATTGAGAATAGATGTCTATGGGCCAAAACATCCACATTACATCAGGAGTGTGTGCTCGCTTCGCACCTCTATTCTATTTTTTTTTTAAAAAACACATATGTATGACAACATCACCGATTTGTATGAACCGTCTCTGATTATCATCCAATATCCACGTTTTTACTTATTTCTATAGAACAAACTTTTGGAGATAGGAAGTGGTACGATCGTGTACCAGCGTAAAATATGCACACAGTAGTAACGAGGGTGAAGGAGGCACAAATTTTTGGCGGTGACAGATATTAAGAGGAGGTTAAATTAGAATTTGTCTAAAATTATGCCCCAGGACGGACAGTAGAAAAATGGCAATGGATAACGTTTGCATCCGAATGTATAACCCTGGATTTTTCTTCTATACTAATGATGAATTTACATCACTATTTTTAACAAAAACATTTTCGTAAAATAAATAATTTACGAAAATACTGGGCAGCGATCGGGAAATTACGACACATTTTCTCGTCAGGTATACCTCAAAACCTGAAAACTAAGCTGTACAACTAGTGCATGTTGCCAGTGATGACCTACGGAACCGAGACGTGGTCCTTCACTGTTGGCCGTATGAGGACGGTCAAAGTCGCTCAGCGAGCTATGGAGAGGGCTATGCTCGGAGTTTCTCTGCGTGATAAACTTAGAAATGAGGATATCTGCAGTAGAACCAGAGTGACCGACATAGCCCAACGGATTAGTGAGCTGAAGTGGGAATTGGCCGGCCATATAGCTCGAAGAACCGACAACCGTTGGGGAAAAAAGGTTCTCGAGTGGCAACCTCGTACCGGTAGGCGAAGTGTAGGGCGACCCCCCACTGGATGGAGTGACTACCTGGTAAGACACGCAGGAAGTCGATGGATGCAGGTGGCTCAGGACCGTGCTTTGTGGCATATCTTGGAGGAGGCATATGTTCAGCAGTGGACTTGTGAAGGGCTGTAATGATGATGTTGATGATGACATAATTACATACGTAAAATTACTCAGGGGCCAAAGTCAATTATTTAGTTTTGTATTAGAGGAACTGCAGCATATTTGGAATATCGGTATGTTTTTGGGAATAAATAGAAAAGGAAACATTTCTGCCTAGCAAAAAATGCAATAAATTATTGGAAAATTATAGTAATATAAAGAAACAAAAATACTTTAATAACCTAAACAAACAAACAAAACAAAAACTAGGAACCTTCTCAAAATGTATGTCAGACCTAAAATCTCCAAAAGCGCGATATTACTTAGGGTGCGGGTATATTGAAATATAGAATTCAAATTGTATTCGCCTTTTTCTTACTTTTTCTTTTTTTACATTTTTCTTTGCTTACGTTTTCTCTTGGAAACTAATAAATCTTTTGTGGTTTTAGTCTTCATGTATAATGTATCATTCTTATGTAAATTGAAATGTAAATATTTTTCTTAACTAAATAATCAACAATAATTATTAGTCTGTTATCAGTCAAAATCACTGATCAGTGTTCAGTTTTAACTTCAAGTTCTTAGTTAGGTTTCGTACCCACGTTGCAGTCATTACAGACATACGCAACCACCACGAACCCGTAATTTGCACACTAAGCGTTGTACCCATATATCTCAGCTATTTCCAAAGATATCAACGGGTTTTCAAATCTGACGATTCACGTTCTGTCATATTTATCCTGTTTCTTTTTGGTTATTTTTCTCTTACCTTTTCCTTTTATTGTTTTATTCTGTGACTTGTTTTCTTTATCGGACTTTTTTAAATGTGCTGTTTCAAGCTCCTTCTTGTAAGGAGAACTTGAATTGATTGCTGTTTAACGGTCTCTATTGCTAGCTCTCTTTTGTCACTGTCACTGTTGTCGTTAGAGAAATATAAAAGGGAATACTTAAACAAGGGAGTGAATTTCTGTCCTACTAGCTGACTATCCTTGCTCAGTTTCATCATACTTTTACAGTCGCTGAGTAGTATCCACATCGGGTAAGGCGGGCAATATTGCAATAGTTTATGTGTTTTCTTCCTGATCTTCAAATTATGCAGCAGCAACAACTTTGTAATCGGCTTCAGTAAATACATTTTGATTAAAGAGCTATATGCCTCTAACTCGGAAACCATTTGCAGCAAATTCGCACTTGATATGGGCTTTTCTAAATAGCTCAACAATATCATAAGATGTTAAAAGTCTATTATTTTGTCTGAGACAAACTAGAACTTCTTAACTATGATAACAAAGAAAAATGTTCACAAAAATTTGCATAAAATATGGTATGTTCCAAATTATGTTCACCTACGGTGTTCCAAATTAACAACATGACATCCTAAGTTAAAACCTCATATAGCATTTTTAACCGCAGAAATATTTACAAAATAAAGACATAATCATAAACTAATAAAGTCGCGTAATAGTTTAAAGAATAAAGATTTTGTATATCATGGTAAATGATTAACAAGGATTACATTCTTACCGAAAAAGTTTTCAAAGTAGACGTTTTCATTCCCGTGTAGCTGTCAGCAAAAATGTTCAGATGGCTTCCTGATTTTACTATATATTGACTTCGTATGTCATGTGACGTTATGTTTATGGAAAAAAACACAGACGACGATTACGTTAATAGAGACATCCGAGTATTGCAAGTTACCTGCACTATTTCAAATTCGCTTCACGTCAAATTTCCTCTAAGAGACTCCTTCGGATTCAGTTCATACCTTACTTTATTTATTTATTTGTATGGATCTCCAACAGTTGTACATATTAAATTACTTCTAACACATGCTTTACATCTATAAATTACTATGTACTACCAATTATAGGATTCTAAAACAATAGTAGTATTTAAAATTTGCCTATTTCAATGGTAGTTGGAACAAAAACAAACTTTATGGCTCTATTTTGATAGTAATTAAGAGCTATATTCGTAATAGAAATTAACTAAAACGATTAACCTAGTAATATCGTTTCCATCTCATTCTCAGGATGCGTGACGTTGCTCGGCATCTACAGTGCGGACTATCTGCTTTTTACCTTCTGCACCTACATCAGTATCCAATTCAGGCTCCTTCAACACGACATGGAGAACATAATACCAGACCTGGGAAAAAACAATTTAACACGCTTCCGTGATGAAGAGTTTAAGAAAGAGTTCGTGGATCTTATCCAGAGGCATCACATGTGCATACGGTTTGTATATACTAAGGAATCGATGCCACGTCATGAGGTGGAGGCGTAAGAGAACTCATCCCCTCTTTACGTTCCGTGGGTGTAATGTAGTAAGGGGTGACTATGGGAAATGTTAGAAAAGTTTTAAGATTTCCGATAGATGGCGGTATAACCGTCTCACAGCGTAGCAGGGTAAAGGTGCAAGACTGATGCTTACTGCCACCATCAATTCACCTGCCAAAAGTGACGATTTAAGCAAATCTATCCAAAACAGAAGAGGACAATGTCCAACTGTGGACTTTTATGCGCTGTCTGGCTTCACTCGGGTGGAGGTTAGAAACCTAATGATGATTTTATTTCCGATTCAAACTCCATACTTTATTGTTAATAAGAATAAACATAAAATTAATGTTAGTAAATGTACAAATAAGAACAACACTACTTATTTTATATTAAACATAACAGCTCTGCAATATATATGCATAGTGGTCCAGTGTCGTACAATCGAGCAATCAAGCATTCCAAATAGAGTAAATAGGAGTCCGTTGGTACTGTATCGCACACGTCGCTTCAGAGAGGCCACTCCCTTCCGCAGTATTGTATCAGAGCTGTCCTTGTTATCCTTGACAAAGAAACCTGATGCGGTGCAATAGCGAGACAGTCCCATTAGCATCTATATGTAGTGTGTTTATACCAGTTCTGGCTCAAGATCCAGAACTGGAACAAACCAGCCCTCATCACCTGTCGGTGGGTCGACGAATTATAAAAAAACAAAGGTTTTGGCATGCTCTAATCACGAATCTGCGGTCTTTTTTCGTGTAGGATGCGCGGTTCCAGAGATGTGCAGATCAATTAATTAATATCCAATTGATATTCGGTGAGTCTGCGCCCACATTTAGCGTTTCCTTTGTTTCCAACGTTTCCTCTTATCTATTATTTCTTGAATACCGTCATTACCACTTCTTATCTACTCGTTGTAAACCCTGCTTAGTCCTATTGTATTATATTTCTTGGTTTAACTACTACGCTATTCTCAATCACTAATTAAACTCATTCCTTAATTTTGTTACAAAATTATTACCAAAATTTTGTTTGTATAAAATAAGAGCGAAACATCTCATCCACAAAAATATCGTTGTACAGTGCGTTCGCTGTAAATTTGTTCGTAAAACTATGCATTAAATATCCCTGAAATTTATATAGCAAATACGTTAAGCAATATTTATCACAAACTGAAGTCCCTCACCTGGATCCTATCAACTTTCCAGTCCTATCTTTTACAATTACTTTTTAACTCCTCATCCGCCAGCTAAAATGATTGACATCGCTTGCTTGCTTTGCGTGACGCAGCGTTGTTAAAAATATTTGTTATAAATTTCAATACAATACTTGTTTCTGTTTATTTATTATGTTATGTTACTTGTTTTAGTGCTTCTAGTTAAAAATGAACTTATCCAGCACAGGACAGCAGCTTGAATATCACAATTATTTCTATATATTACTTGAAATTATTTACGTAAAAAGATACATTATACGCACACAAAAACTTTTATAACAATTTTATAATTGAACACTATACTAAAGACTAATAAAACATTAGAAAAATCCAAAAATCAACACAATAACACGCCACTCGAAATAGGCGTACCAAAATGAACGTAGATTATAAATAAAAAACCATAAATTAACTAATTTTTATTGCATTAGAGGATAAGAAATTTTACATTGAACCTTACATACAATGCCTTAATTTCTTCATAGAAAAGTAGTATCTAAATAAAGTTAAATGCATGAACAGTAAAGTGAACATCATAGTGACTAAGTTTGTGTAAAAATATTGGAGTATGACGTGGTGTTCTGAACTTCAAGCTACATGATTCATGAGTAATACCTAAGAAACTTAGGACTACCAGTGTACCAATCAAAATCATAAAAAGTTCTGATAACTCTGTTTCACAAATATGACAAATGTTTGCATTTGAAATTGGGTTTTTGTCTTCATTTGTTAGCGAAACTGGATATTGAATAAAAGTCCGTTTTAGGGACTGGCTTAACGGTCTAACTAGATATCTCTAAGCCGTATATGAACGCGACCCTCCTTAGCAGAAAGGAGGGCGCAAGCGGCGAAAAGCCGCTTAGACGAGTGCCTAACTAAGGCAGATTAAGGGATGTGTTATGTAGGCTTGGCCTGAGCTGCCAGGAGGCAGTTCAGGTCAGCCGAAAGCTTGTTGGGGGGGGTCCGAGAGAGGTTTCTCGGTCTGCACACACTATAGCGAGTGTGGATAGGGGCTGCATAGGCAGCTGTCTCACGAATGAGATGATTTGGGTGGGAATCTGAGGCTTTAAAAAATCTCTCAGAGAGTAATTTAAGGAACTGCTGGATTATTGGGAGCTCTAAGTCTCGGTGTAGGTCGGCATTACGGACATAATAGGGCGAGTTAGTGGCCCTACGACATAATAGATTTTGAACTATTTGAAGTTCATTTGTAGCTTTGGTCTTAGCATGTGCGAAAATGGTGGCCGCGTAGGTCATGACAGGTCGTATGCAGACCTTATATAGGGTTCGCTTGTTGCGGAGGGACATTTTACTGTGTCTGCCCAACATGCTGTTGAGCCTACCCATGTAAAATCGTGCGGTGTGAGTAACCTTCTTGATATGGGGTTCGAAAGTGAGCCTTGCATCAAGGGTGACGCCTAAATATTTGGCTGTAGTTTGCCATGTGAAAGGGGTTCCTAACATCCTGATTGGCGGAGTGGTGGTGAGACGGCGTCGTTTATATTCGAAGCAAACGGCGGAGCTCTTCTCCGGGTTTACGTCGATACGCCATTTTTGGAACCAAGCTCCTAAGTCGCTTACTGACTTTTGAATCTTGTTCCGAATCTGTGGCAGTGAGTTGCCTTTAGAGTAAAGGGCTGTGTCATCTGCAAAGAGGGCTAGTTTAACACCATTCGACGGGATAGGGATGTCGTTGGTGAATAGTATATATAGGAGGGGGGCAAGCACAGAGCCTTGAGGGACACCGGCTTTGATTTGACGAGTAGAGGATAGCGTGCCTTCGTGTCTAAAGCGAAAGGTACGATCCTTCAGATAGGAGGCTACAAGGCGAACGAGACGGTCTGGGAGGCCTAAGTCGTACAATTTGTAGATAAGGCCCTCGTGCCAGACTCTGTCGAATGCCTTGGCAATGTCGAAGAAGAGCGCGATGATTTTTTGACGACGAGGATAAAAACCGCTGAGGATATATTCCAATATGCGGTGAACTTGCTGGGGGCATGAGTGTTTGGCTCGAAACCCGAATTATTGTGGGATGACAAGAGGGTCGCCGTCTGTGGGAAACAAATGGCGCTTCATGCGCACGAAAATGACTCGTTCGAAAAGTTTGCCCATGGCCTTAAGGAGGCTGATGGGACGGTGATTGGAGGGGAGGTGGTGAGGTTTGCCTGGCTTGGGAATACTAATGACAGTTGCCTCTTTCCAAGAGGTGGGAAAATAGCTGAATTCGAAGCAGGCGTTGAAGATTATGGCCAATAAGGCGATCACCTGCTCCGGAAAGTATTTGAGGGCTTGGTTGGAGATGCTATCCGCACCCGGTGCTTTTTTGGGATTAAGTCCTTTGAAGGTAGATGAAATCTCATCTTTGGACATAGTGATAGGGTCAGAGGCGGTAAGGGGCGAGTTCCGGCGCCGGCTCTCGTCCTCAATTAGTTGGATGTGTATGGGGTCAGTGGGTTGTGAGCTGGGAGAGCATTGAGTGGCGACGCTGTCGGCGAAGCACTCAGCCTTTTCTTCGTCCTCGAAGGCAATAGAGCCGTCGGGACGAGACAGAGGGGGAGCATGCATTATAGCGTCTATCCGGAGGGCTCTCGCCATCTGGTAGTACGCTGTGTGGGAGGGAGAGATTTTCTCCATGAGATTACCCCTTTCGAGATCTCTGTAATCTTGGAGGCGGTAACGGAGATTGCGTTGAAGGCGGTGTGCCGCGAGTCTATATTCGGGAGTGGGATAGCGTGCAGCTCTACGGAGGGCAGCCTTTTTGGCTTTTAGCAGGTTGCTAATATCTAGGGGAAGACTAGTTTTAGCAACCGGGACAACCTTTTCATTCTCTTTAAGAGAGGATGTTATAAGTGAGGTGAGATTTTCGACCGCGGTGTCTATTTTCTCCGTACTGTCAAGGACGTCGGAAGAAAGGGTTATGGGAGGGTCCGGAGAGTCTATAGCCGAGGCTAGAGACTTCTTGAAGCCCTTCCAGTTGGTGTAGGTTTTGGAAGTGGGAGTTGGAGATGGCTGATGGCCAAGAAGGAGGGATACAGGACGGTGGTCAGATCCTAGATCATCGAGAGACTCGATTGCTCTAAGGTTAAGGGAGACTCCTTTAACTAGATCAAAGTCTAGCATGTCAGGAGCGTAGTTAACATTCTCGGGATAGTAGGTAACAGCGAGGGGGCTGTAGACAGTCAGGTCGAGAGACTGAGTGATATTGAGCAGCACCCTGCCACTACTGGTAGTAGTGCGGCAGGTCCATTCAGTATGCTTGGAGTTAAAGTCTCCAAACATAATGACTGAACCGCCTAATGCAAGGATGGCTTCGAAATCACTCTTAACGGGGAGGGTTCCGCTAGGGATATAGCAAGAGGCTATAATGATTGACTGGTGTCCAGTCATGGCTAATCTAGTGATAGTGGCTTCCATACTGGTAAGCGTCGGAGTGTTTTTTAGGATCCGTTGACCCACCGGTAGGCGAAGAGGGCTGACTTGGCTCGTGGCTTGGTTCTGGCTCGTGAGCCAGAACTGATATAAACACACTACTCCTAAAGCCATTATTGTACTGAACACGTAGAGCATATAGAGATATGCGAGTATATTTAACCCACAGGCTGCAAGTGTAAAACGTTTGGCAGTGCGCCTTAAAAAGGGTTATCTTGACAAATATAGAATCAAATTGTTCCCTATCCCGATGGAATTTTGTGAAATTCTTTGTCTACATTGTAGGGGAAACTTCTGTAAATAATTTCAACTTTCT